TATATATATATATATATATACATGTGTGTATATATATATATTTATGTGTATATATATATACACACACACACACACACACCCCCCTATGGGTACATCCCAAGTCTCTAAGGCCAAATCCCAATGTCCTCCCTTACGGACTGGGACTTTGAGGCGCGCTCCCGCGAAGTCCATGAGGGTTTAGGGATGTCCCGGAAGCGATCCTACCCCAAGACCCGTTTGAGAGGAGAACTTTGAGGAGAACCTTCAGGCCAAAGAGCTGATATCAGATCAGCCTGACCTCACAACCAGACAGCAGACTAGCGGGAAAGGGAAGCAGTACATGAAGCTTCTCCACTAGCTGAACACCAGACAGGTTAGGCTAGCTGGATGACGTCATGCTAATAACTCATTCAGCTTTTTAAAACAACGGGGACAGATCCAGCACGGACATGAAGCACCTGCTGAGACATGATGTATAGTTATTAATACATCATTATATATATGTGTGTGTTTTATATTATAGTGAATATTATTATATGATATATATATTATTTGATATATATATATTATTATATAGACTATAATAAGATGTCCTGACGTGTTTATCAAAGTGTTATTTTCTGTTTTTTTCATGTTGTAATAAAGGTTAAATATTTAACTGTAAAGTAGTAATACGTGTTTGATACCTTAATGTTTTTGCATTAAATCATTCTGGGATGTTTGCTGACATTTATTGGATGTGGAACAGCCCGACAGAGAACATGTTCCACCAGCCAACACTGCTGTCTATTTGTCTGTCTCTGTCTCTCTCTCTCTCTCTCCCTGTCTGCGGTAATAAACGTGTGTGTGTTCCTTTAACTCTCTGCTGGTTCTTAGTGCTCGTTTGTGGAATACAAAGACTTTAAACTGGTTTACCGTCAGTACGCCGCTCTGTACATCGTGGTCGGCGTCACGGACAACGAGGTGAGAGACGCCATGTTTTTATTTGTTTATTAGAATGCACAACATGAAGTATTCCTGTACTGCAGTACAAGTACTGATGCCACAGTACAAGTACTGCTACCACTGTGAATATAAATCAGTTTGGTTGTGAAGATTATTTAAGTCTTTTCACTTTGCACCACGTCCTCACACATTAAAGTTATAAATGATGTAATCTACTGTTTAGATAATCTTAATATTTATGATTGTTTTCCTCAGAACGAACTTTCCGTCTACGAGCTGGTTCATAACTTTGTGGAGGTTTTGGATAAATACTTCAGCCGGGTGGTGAGTTGACAGATGATCCAACAGTCTAGTTTATTATTATTCTGCTGTGTATTTATAGTTGTGTGTGTGATTGAGGTGATTAAAAACATTAATCTGTAATATTGACTCATTTCCTGTTTTACTGTCACTTTATTTCTAGTCTCAGAACTTCGTTTGTTTTGTCTCCAACAGAGTGAACTGGACGTATCCTTTAATCTGACCAATCACAGCCACCCTCTGTGAGCACGACTTCCTGATTGTTAGCACGACTTCCTGTTTGTTTCTTTGACTCTTGGCCGTCTTCAGATCATGTTCAACTTGGACCGAGTCCACATCATCCTGGACGAGATGATCCAGAACGGACACGTGGTCGAGACCAACAAGAGCCGCGTCCTCGCACCGCTCACCGCCCTCGACAAGATGGCCGACGGCTGAGGCTCCACAGGAAGTGATGTCACAGGATAGACATCATCCGGTGGAGATTAAACTGACGGGAATCGAACCTTCAACCTTGTGACTGTTTAAGGTTCCGATCAATATGAACGGATTTTGTCATTTCTCCACTGACGTCTAGATTTATTATTTAGTCAAATAAAGTCAATTTATAAAACTTTATTTAACCCTCCGATGGTCAAAAGTGACCCAAATTATTTAGTTTCATCTTTGATTATGTATTTTATTACGATATTTAAAAAATCCTCAAACACCTTATTTTAATTTTATTATTTTGCCATAAAGGTATATTTTTATGTCTCTGCATGAGCAGAAAAAGACGTGCGTGTTCTTTATGTTTCGTCTCTTTTGAAGATATAAATATATATCTTTCATTGTTTCAGTGAAACGTGTAAAAACAAACTAAAGGTTAATAATAAACACAGGACTCCGTCTTTACTTCATACTTTGCAAACATTTTAATGATTATTTTTTTTGGAGCATACACATTTGAAAATATCTGTTTTTTTACCTCAAACTGCAACTTGAGTTAAATAAATGTTTATAATAATATACAAAGAAAATACAAGAGGGGGAGCAGAGCTTCTTCAAACCAGTGTTTGTGTCTCTAGAGACTCTACAGCCGGGTCACAAAACAACCCAAAGAAACCGCTCGCACACGAAACACAGAGCTTCAAATAAAAACAGAGGAGGAGGAGGAGCATGATCGTTTGAAGGAGGAGGACCTGAAGCTACGAGTCAAACCAGGCACTAAACTGAGGAGGAGGAAGGTCAACACACACACACAGCAGCCTGAAGGAGACGAGGACACAAGGGAAGGAGGCGAGGGGGTTTAAGGATGTGAGTTTTTTTTTTTTTCTGTCAAACATAAATCCTCCTCCTCGTCCTCCAGCAGTCGTCAGGTTGCAATTGGCCGGCTGATCTGTCCGTCACGCGAGGAGCATGCTCAGTGAGGTCAGTTGAGGTGGAAGCCTTTCTCCATGGTGGCGGCTAACAGGCGCTCTCTCATGATGTCCTCGGAGGAATACTCTGGGAGCTTCAGGTAGTGGACGCAGGTGTTCACCGACGGGTAGCTGGAGTCTGTGGCGTCCACCTGCAGCCAATCAGAGCCAAGGAAACACCTTTACTAAAGCTCAAAGTACAGGTATGAGATAAAGAGCCAATCAGAGAGCGGCGTACCTTCCGGACGATGGTGAGGCGGGGGTGCAGGTTGGCGAGGCCTCCGGGGGGCAGCGTGGAGCAGCCGGTGGTGAACTGGAGGAACGCCTTCCTCTCGTCAGACGACATCCCGCAGAGAACTCTGACGAACCGCAGGAAGCCGGGACTGGAGGGGTCAGAGGTCGGAGGTCACTCACCGGACTGAGGGGAGGGACTCTGGCCCCTCTAAGGGGAGGGGGGGACGGACTCTGGCCCGTCTAAGTGGACTCACCTGTCTCTGGTGAAACCCAGCTTTGGTTCTGTGTAGTTGATGATGTCATCAGCGGTCCAGGATGGTGATTGGTTCCCACAGAGGATCATCTGAACCTCTTTATGGCTGAAAGAACTCAACTTCTCCATCGGAAACACTCGATTGAATCCCTCTGAGGAGGAGAAGAGGAGATGAGACAGGAGAGGAGCGGAGGAGACAGGAGAGGAGAAGAGGAGACAAGAGAGGAGGGGAGGAGACAGGATGAGACAGAAGGATTGTTTAATTGTTTTTTCATGGTTTAATGTTGATTCTCCTCATGAGTAACAGACAGGAACCAGTTCACTGTGTGTCTTTCTGTGTGCGTCTCTGTGTGCGTCTCTGTGTGTGTGTGTGTGTGTGTGTCTCTCTGTGTGTGTCTGCGCGTGTGTACCTCTGAAGGCCTCCATCTGTTTCTGGATCCCCGTGTGCATACAGAAGTCAAACATCAGCTCCACGTACTCCTCAGCGTTCTCCATCGTCACCATCTGTAAGAAACCAGGAGGTGTTCAGGAACCAGAACTCTGAAGTGGATCCATCAACACCTCAGAACTCAGACGTGGTCTTTACCTCGTCGTCTCCGTTTGGTTTCAGATCCACAGCCGAGAAACCGTGAACCTTCGAGGACGGACAGAACTGGAAGTTCAACCTGAGGACAACAAGACAACCAGTTAGTCCAGCAGGACCAGACCAGACACACAAACAGGTTTAGTGGTTTCACTGAAGGTGAACTGGAGACCAGAGGTTCCGCTGTGGGGACGTGGTCTTACCCGAGGTCCTCGATGCTGAGGGGCGGTCCAGATCCCAGAGGGTTCCTCAGCATCAGGTCCTGGAGTCTGGTGTTCTTCTCATCTTCACACAGACTCTTACTGGATAGAATCTGCCTCCTCTTCACCGCCAGCTCCTTCACCTCCTTCAGGAAACGAGCCCTGCGGGGGGGGGGGGGTCAAAGACCAAGAGGAGGAGGAGACACAAAATAAAACATGGTTATTAATGATTAACTGTTTGCAGTGATACGTTCTGGGTTTTCCTCCTTTGGTGAAGATTCCACAGAAGCAGACAGTCAAACCTCTCTCACTACTCTTCTTCTCCCATCACTCCATCCCTCTAAACAGCGCCGCCTAGTGGTCGTATCTGATCACTTAACATAACTATAGATATTAGATATGTGACCCTGTGCTTACATAATTATGTTTACATCACACAATCTCACGCTTACAATACAAATCAAGTTGATTGGCGGCTGTGGTCCTGTACAACACCTGCCTCACCACCTGCATCACCACCTGCCTCACCACCTGCCTCACCACCTGCCTCACCACCTGC